TTCAGCTAAAGTTAAGGTTAAGGTTAAGGACAGAAATATACGTGCATTTCCACTTTAAAGAAGCCTAGCTGATGCACCTTGGAGACGCGGGGGGGTCCGGGTCCTCCGGGGGGCCAGAGGGGGGGGGTCCCCCCTCCTCTTCCTCCCGACTCCTGCTGCCTTCTGCCTCTGCAGAAAAAATAGAGCCAGCTTCCATTTCTGCTCTCGATAATTAATTTAAAGCCTTTAAAAGTCACTTTAAAGTCACTAAACGTACAAATTCTCCAACATACAAAGTGAAATTTTATCGGATATTTGACTCGACACCCGAATTCAATTTCCAAAATACGATTTCAAAGTCATAGAGAATAAAAAAGATTCAAATTAAATCAGAATAACTAGTGTAAGTTGGTGTAGGTATCCTGTGTAAAGTCAGAGTGAGTTAGGGCTGGTCCTGTATCTCAGTCTCCACCTCTACCTCTGAGCTAAAGGGACAATAAAACCCTTTTTACTGATTATTTCTTTATCATTTATTTATTTTTCCATCTCTCTTCTAGAAGTCATTTGTTTTCTTGCTATGTGTAATTATCTCCAGTATTTATTAAGGAGTTATCGTAGGTTTTTGGAAGCAATTCTCGGAATTACAGAGTATTCTGATGGAAGATTTGAACCAAAATACCAATATTTAACACAGAAGTCACTCCTGGAACCAGTTAGACTCTGTGATAGAAGTTCTGCTGTACTTACAATGCCACATATTGCTCTTTTAAAGTCCTAAAACTGCATTTAGCAGATAGTTTTATCAAAAGCAGAACATCCACAGGTGGATCTCCGTGTGGGGGAATCGAACCCCCGGTCTCAAATATTTAATTTGATTTAATCTAATTGATATTTAATTTAATTTAATCTCCTGTGTGACAGGCGGGGACGCTCACCACTAAACAAGCCCATCCCAAAACCATAAATATTTCATTTGAGCCAAAACTAATCACTCGATATCATGACTTGCGGTTATTTCGCGTCCGTTTAATCTACAGTGGGGGAAATAAGTATTTGACCCCTTGTTGATTTTGCAGGTTTGCCAATTTACAAAGAATGCAACGATCTATAACTTTAATCATATGTACATACTAACAGTGAAAGACAGAATCCCAAAGAAAATTCCAGAAAATCACATCATGTGAATTTATAAAAATTGATAACCATCTGATGAGGAAAAATAAGCATTCTTTGTAAGTGGGCAAACCTGCAAAATCAGCAAGGGCTCAAATACTTATTTCCAACACTGTAGGTAGGTAGATAGATAGATAGATAGATAGATAGATAGATAGATAGATAGATAGATAGATAGATAGATAGATAGATA